GAACTTGCATAGAACCCAACTTGAAGTTGAGCTTCCAACAGAAAAGAACGACTTAAAATCAAAACCAAAGTTATAAACCCACAAATTACTTGCTTTGAACTCATCCTTATCTCTCACGAGTTTGTTTAAACCTTTAACAAAATCTTGCATTATTAAAGCTATATATAGAGATTTAGTACGTTAGAGAGCATACATAATATGCAGCCTTGTATAATTATAATATTTTGCTGAGTCTTTGACATACGGTATTGAGTAGGACAGGATGATAAAATAAAAAAGATTTAAAGTTATTTAGCATGTATTTGGTGTAGTTAAAAATCAAAGAATTAGTCTTAATGTACCGAATGGGGGTACCAAATGGTGTTCCCCTTTCACGATGCGTGTGGGCCCCATGTGTATTTAAAAATTCCAACTTGTGGTCCCCACCTCCTAATGTGAGTGGGGTATAAAAGATTTGGCCCCTGTTTGGTACCAATTCTCTTTTCCATTCTCATTCTCTTTTTTCATTTTAACCACACAATCTCCAAATAAAATAATGTTACACACGAATCTAAAAATTTTCATCACTTTTCCACCACACAGTCTCCCATCAATCACTATTTCAAAAATTTTCAACACATTAAAATGGGTGTCAAACACTCACTTGACATAAAAATTCGATACATGTAGTATAACCCAAAATCAAATATCTTGTAGATTTTGATAAAAGTTGATGAAATGTGTGGTTAATTAATTGTTGATTTTGACTTAAATTTTTATCGATTTTTTAAGTTACAGTACCAAACAGGGTGTCAGTGTGTGTTTGTGTCATAGATTTACCATTTAGTATTATCTAATCCCCACAAGAACTTAGCGTAACGAGTAAGGTTGACACTCTAATAAATAAGATTTTAACATATTTTTCTTTATATGTTACCGAAAATTAAATTCAAAGGAAGTTTATAACTTGCTCTAATTTATTTATTTTTCTTTAAATCATTTTTATACCACGTCGTGCAGATTTTAAAATTCCTGTTTTTGTTCGTGTGACCAATAGTATAATTTTTATAAAATCTACGATAAAAAAATTATTCCAGCGACCATTTTGAATTTATTTAAAACTGCGGTGACCGTTGGCAGAATTAACTTGATTGACATTGTCATTTATGTCCGCTTTGGCATTTTAACATTAGAATTTAGTGTTAACATTTTTAATCGAGGACGACTAGTGAACCATTAGAAACTTCGGTGATTATTACTGTAAGAAAATTATTTTAATGGCCATTTTAAAATTTATTCCTAACTTTACTGAACATTTTCGCAATTGTCCCTATTTTATGAGCAAAACTTGACTATGCACTTTTTCTTATAATCTTTATTTTTTTTATCGTCTTTTACATTAATTTAACTTAGAATAATTTCTTCGGTGGTCTATGCATAGCCTATAGTATGTAACTATATATACTTTTTAAAAGTATTCTTCGCCTTAATTATATTATTTTGGGAAATGCTACAAGTACAGGGGGGAGGCGGATGGATAGTTTCACAGACAAGACACATTGGGGCGGTGGGGTG